TTCAGAAAATTGAGTTATCAAGGCAGTAATTATTTCACGGGGAGATAAAACTCTCATAGCCCTAACTGTCAAATAGGGCCCTTTTCAGATTTTAATTACAAAATAAAATTAGTCTGCTCTTCCTCAGAATGGTTTGTGAGTGGTTAAACAGAGCTTTCCCCCAATACTGGTGGTCGTCAAACTCTGCTAATTAGCAATGCTGAGAAATTCCAGTTAACAAGGACATTCTCCAAGACTCTGCAGGTTCCCTGCCGTTTGCCTTCATTTCCATAAGAAGATTAAGAGAGGAGGGGAACACACTCAAATGCAGATGCAGAAAAGAAGCGTTTTTTAACAAGCATCATAATAGTAAGATGCTTGGCTAGTTCTCACCTAATTACTGCAAGTTAAACCTCTATTTGCTACTAAGAAGAAAAAATAAGTCTACAGTCCCCTATCTCCACAAAATTGTTAGTTGGCTTCAGATATAATACTTTAGGATGGGGAGAGTTTAGGAGAGAAAAATCCATGCAAAAGATTTTTAAGTAAAATTGAGTTACACTTAGCAGTTAAGGCTTTTTGGCTAAGGCTCATAGTAAAATGAAATCAAATCAGAATATCCCAGGAATTATGCATTTTTTTGTCCCTAATTACTCAGCTTGCTCTAAAAGTGTGTACCTTTTTATTGCCCATGGAAGAGAAGTGTTACACTCTGTTTAGATTAAGCTCTACCAATTTTCATAAATTGTGCCAACGGCAACATTTTACATTCTTGGAGGATGAAGCACCCTGTTCCAAGTCTTTTTTGATTATCTAGTAGTCAATGGTGTATTGTTGTTAGTACTGTAGCTGTCTATTATAAACCTAAAACAGTGTTGCTTCTGTCATCTATTGAGATTGTTATAGTTATTATATTTAGGGGCCAGTGATGATGCTAGATTGAAATACAAAGTGGCCGCTGATGTGATTTTTTAAAAAATGCATATGTTCTATAAGTTCTAATGAGGAAATTGTTTCTATCACCATCTTCTTGAATCTTATTTTCATAGTACATTATGCATAAATGTCAGCCAGTTAGTTTACTGCCCTGATAAGTACAAGCAAGCTTAATTAAAATAAACCTGTAAATAAATCCAACCAATAACACAATTGTAATGTATTTTCATAGTTTACTTATATGATAAAAATAATTAACAAAAGACCTAGCCTGACCTTCAACCCTCTTAAATGCATTAATATAGAGTTCAGGCGCAAACATGCATCTGAGAATGTGTAAAAGCTGTGATATATCATCCCAAGGAAAAATGTGTGCCTCTTACTGCTACCCTTTGAGAGAAAGACAGCAAAATTAAAGAGATTTGCTTCTATAACCACCCGCTATTAATATTTATTTTAATAAATGTACACTACCATTACCCACACCAACCCCTTGGTTTTTCTTCAAACTTAATTATCCATAAGCTTTTTTAGGTTTTCAAAATAACGTTATTAAATCCAGACCAATGCATACACAATCATAAAGTGAATGCTTGGCCTGCCCTTCGTGACGTCTGGACAATCATAATTCATTCATATGTTGAATCTCATAATTTGTACCTTTTTTCCCCCATGGTTTAACCTCCCACTTATCTCGAGGTTGTATGTACATTTCTAAGTTAAGCAAATTAAATCTGATTCTTATGATTTGGTTTCACAGCTTATATGGTGGGTTAACTTTTCTTTTGTTTAGATTACGTGTAATTAGTTTGATCTTCTATCCCCCGCATTTTCTTTTAACTTTATTTCCAAACACTTTTTAAAGGTAAAAGCGGTAGTCTTGAAAAAATGAATCCACCAGCAGGGGGCGCACCAGCCACATCCCTGAAACCAGCCGCGCTGAAAAGCCGGGGGCCGCCTTGTCTTGTCCATCCAGATCCTCTCAACCTTTTTCTCTCCTAATCTCTAGGTCCATGTTTAACTTAATATTACACCTCGATCAAACAGAAAACATTGCTTTATATTGAAGAATACCGAATACTTATGCGTTTCGAGAAGGCCAGTCTCGCGCTTTGCAGGTTCCCAAGAAACCATAACTTAAGAGAAAAAAGGAGAACCTACGTGGGGAGAGAAGGTTGATTGGAGATAATAATTTATGGAGAAAAGTCTGGAGGATTCTTTATAAATCAGGAACTCTTTTACAGTTGCCATTTTTGGGGTTTTTTCCCTTCCTTTAAAAAAAAAAATTTTTTTTTTTTTTTTTTTTTTTTTTTAACAAGTTTTCTGGGTTTCCGGTGGGCATCCTTAGCTTGAGTTTGACAATAACAGACAAGCCTGGGAGGGCAGGAATTGGAGAAGTTGGTGGTGGTATGGGGTGGGGAGGGTGGTTATGGAAAGAGAAGGTTAGTAAGAAACAAAACAACGCACAGTTTTGTAAAGATAATAAATGGAACGTGGCTGGTAGATACTATTCGGTACATTTTCTTAGGGTGAGTAAGGGTAGATCAGGGGAGGAGGGGGCGCAGAGAGTGCTACCGAAGAAAGAAAATAAGTAACCCTGATGGTTTAAGCTCTTTATAAGAAAAGAAATGGCATCGGAGTTTTTTTCTTCTTCTTCTTCTCTCCCCCCGCTTTGTAGTCAAGTGCATTTTAGCCACAAAGATCCCAACAAGAGAGTGGAAGGAAACTTAGACGGGGCTTTGTTTGACTCCGTGTAGCGACAACAAGAGAAACAAAACTACCTATTTGTAACGGACGTGCTGCCATTGCTCTCCGCATTGAGCGCCTACCTATTGAAATCCTTACGTCGGGACAATGGGAGAGCGGCTAAAATTACCCTCTTGGGCCCTGGGCAGGCAAGATTCCTGAGCCCCTATCCCCGCCCCCACCCCATGCTCCTGCAGCCCGGGCCTCGCGGGGCTCCCGCCTTGCCTGTGGCCGGGCCGCCCTCTCCCTGCCTGCGCTGCCTACACCTGTGCCTGGCGAGCACGTCCCTGCCTCCCAGGCCTGCGGCCACCACGGCAGAAGTCAGCGGGGGGGAGGCCAGGGCTGGTTCTGCTCGAGTCCTGGGAGTTGTGCGTGGGAGGGAGTTTGTGAGTGCGGCCCATATGCCACCTCCGCACAGTGCCGTGGGATGCCAGGAAGTTGAAATTGCCCTCCCCCGTCGCCTGCACTTTTCAGCGCCCTTCTGGTTATCTTTCTTCCCCCGGCCTCCTCTTAAAACCGGCACAACTGAAATTCTTTGGGGGAGGCTTAGGAGGAGAATGGAGAGAAAGGTAGGAGTGCGAGTATCCCCTTTACACTGACTGAAAGGAGAGAGACAGGTGGGAGATGTGACCGGGATATAAGAGGGCTGTGGTTTCCTGGGCCAGAAAGCTGAGCGGGGCAGGGAGAAGACAGCTTGCTTACCAAGGCCCTGCCTGGCCTCAGCTCTAGAGTCGGCCGCATGGTCGAGCAAGATCCGTGGGCGCAAGAAAGGTTTTGAGGACAGAGGTTTGGCTCTCCTAACTTGTCGGGACTGTGGGATAAGCGGGCGAGTGTTGGCACCAGTAAAGACGGGCGAGGGGCAGAGCGTGGTCAGGGAGACGCACAGCAGGGGCTGGAGTTGGGGGAAGTGCTGCGGAGGAGAGGAGAACAATGACGCCAACTCCTGCACTGCCTGTTTCCTGAAATACTAGTTGGGCAGTCGCCCTGAACCACCCACTCTGCCCTGCCCCACCCCCACGCCTTCGCCGCTTCCCGCGCCCCTTCCTCATTTCGGGACCCTGCACCAAAAAGTTAATCAATAATAAGTTTAAAGGAAAGAAGAAAACAAAAAAAACACGGCGGTAGTGCTGTTTACCCACTTCCTTCGAAAAGGCGTGTGGTGTGACCTGTTGCTGCCAGGCCCCGCCCCCTTTCATGCAAAACCCGGCGGCGAGGCCGGGCTCGAGTGGAGGAGCCGCCGCGCGCTGATTGGTCGCTCGAAACCCATTTATTCCCTGACAGCCCCCGTCACATGGATGGTTGTCTATTAACTTGTTCAAAAAAGTATCAGGAGTTGTCAAGGCAGAGAAGAGAGTGTTTGCAAAAGGGGGAAAGTAGTTTGCTGCCTCTTTAAGACTAGGACTGAGAGAAAGAAGAGGAGAGAGAAAGAAAGGGAGAGAAGTTTGAGCCCCAGGCTTAAGCCTTTCCAAAAAATAATAACACTCATCGGCGGCGGCGGGATCGGCCGGAGGAGGAGGGAAGCGCTTTTTTTTGATCCTGATTCCAGTTTGCCTCTCTTTTCCCTCCCACAAATTATTCTTCGTCTGATTTTCCTCGCGGAGCCCTGCGCTCCCGACACCCCCGTATAACTTCGTATAATGTATGCTA